ACAACCTCAAACATGACGCAGATGAGCCAGTGGTAAAACACATCTGGATGATTGTTTATTAAGTTTACCAGCGTTCTTGATTCACAACTGTCTTAGGGTTTAATCAGAACACTGGCCCAAGGCACACAGCGTTATGTAGGCTATTTAGTTCATGAGGAAAACGTTAGTGGGTTTCCGTGGCAAAAACAGTAACAGAACACGAAGATCCATGATATTTTGCATTTTGTCACCGCATGATAACAATGACAGGGGGATGATTGGGGCAGAAATCTTGATTACAAACAGACAGCTAGCTGCTGGTCCTTTTTGATAATGAGGTCCTCCTGGGCACAAACACCCTTCATTGCGCAACACATACACACACATGCACGCACATACACAGACACAAATACACACACACACACACAGTGATGGTGAGAAAAAGAAAAGTGATGGAGAGAAAAACTGAAAGATAAGAGCTTCATTAGTGCATCGGGCACCATAACACATGCAAACATTGTGTAGAAAAAGAGAGCCACACATGCTACATCTAACTAAACACTCCAGCACATCAACGGTTTGTTGACATCCCACAGCTCACACTGAACAACTGTTTACCCCCCTGCAGCGAGAAATCAAAGGCCAGTGAAAAAGAGAACAAGTTTCATTCCATTGCCAGTCGGCTTATAATATTAGGAGGCATGTCATTAGGCTCAGAAAGAAAGCTGCTTTGTATTTGCTATATTTGTTTTCACGGTCCATGCAAAGGCTATTTAGAACAAAGCTCCTATCCAGAAAACAGACATGTCCTACGGGTCAAAAGAGGACAAAGACAAAACAACCGGGCCTAGTAAGAACATCCCACTGGGCACACACTGGTTGAATCAACGTAGTTTCCACATCATTTCAATGAAATTACGTTGAACCAATGTGGAATAGACGTTGAATTGACGTCTGTGCCCAGTGGGATAGTCTTGCATCAGTCCCCATCGCTCTTGCGTTACTAAGGCAGATTACAAAAAGTGAGTATTGCAAGGCTTCAACACAGTATTTTTGATATCACACTTAAGTATTCAGCAGCATAGCAACTTTACACGGTATCCTTTGGTGGGCTCATTTTATGGTGGAATAACTAGAACATTGAAATAAAACAGAAACAATGCATGGGCAAGCATTCAGATAACACAGGAAAGCTTCTAAGGAGAAAAGTCATTGTGTGCCATTGTTTGGAGTCATTGTTTGAGCTTTGATCTTACTAGGCTTGTCTGTTTTTGGGCCATAAAAGAGCTTTTGTTATACAACTCCTTTCTAGTTGTTATACTAAACAGTTCACATGACTTTTGGAGGAGGAGAAATACTCAGGAGGGAATACAGAGTAAGTCAAACCTTCTCCCTGAAGGCACGGGAATGTGTGTGGTAATCTCTTTGAAGAGGCGTACTTTCACTCGTTCTATCTCTCTCCTCTCTCTCCCAGTCCCCCTCTCTCTCTTTCTCTCTCCCTCTCCTCTCTCTCCCAGTCCCCCCCCACATCTCTCCCTCCCTCCCTCCCTCCAGGAGTGTTTTCCATGAAACAGGGTTGCGTGGGCAGGGTAGCAGAGTGGAGTCGGACCGCAGAGACAGAACAGAACCACAGACGGGCGTATTCCTTCTCAGAACCAGAACCGCTCCTCCTCCACTGGGCTAGGAATTGAGGTCAGCCTTGGGTTTCCGGCTCCAGAACCATCTGGTCCCCATGGCTCCACTTTGCAGGAGCGAAACCAGAGCCAGAGGGAATTACTGTGGCCTGCATGCGATCATGTGCCTCAACTGCATCTGCTTGTTCTGCAACACTGACAATCTATTACAATACATGGTTAATGTCAGATGGACAAGGGCAAATAGCTACACTGCTCCATACCTGTAGAGTATGATCACTGCTTTCCATAGACTAAGATATCCACCGGAAACTAATATAAAAATACATCCCTCTCTTCAGTGGTTGATGTCCGTAAGATAGTATGTACTCAATGATAACTTGAGAAAATAATTCCTATGGTCCTAGGAATAGTCCTGTAAATTGATTCATTATGTCTTGTATCCTTTCTCTGCTTGTGTCTGTGCTTACACCATGCTAAGGGGAAATTGAGCCCATATTGAGTTAGGATGGTAGGGCCTACCACTGCCTGCTCGGAAATAGGAGGGTCTAGAAATTCAGTGGTCTACAGATACAGTGATTGGAATTCCGATTGGGTGAACCACAGACTTTAACAGAAAGACTTTAATCACATGCTGTGACTGCTGGTTTGGATGCTGAACTGGGGGGGGGGGGATTCTGAACAGTCCATGGGACACTGCACCAGTGAATGTCAACTATCTTTGAGGAAGTCCGTTTTCAGATCATTATACACAGTCTAATTCCACAAATCACAATTATTTTGTTTTATGGAAGCTATTTTCCACAGAAATCTTAACATCCCTTTTAACTATTTTAAGCTAGGGGATTTTATGCATTTTTAAATGTTAAAAATACTTATAATTAATGGTTTGCAAATAATTGCACAAAATGACATACTGAATAGCTTAATCAATCATCAAATGATCAAATAGTAGACCACATGTCTGTGGAAAATCTTTGTGTCTTCTGACCAAATCTCTCTGGCTGTACTTATATACCCAATTAGCAGGAAATTACCAATTAAGATGTGGGTAATAATCTCCTGGAAGTTCATTTTCAGCTCTGTTCTATGCTGTAAGCAGATTTAGTACTTCTCCTGAGCTCAGTGGGAATTAAAGCCACCAGCATGGAACCACCTTATCTCAGGTTTCTAACATGGAGGTCTTGAGCTTCACTCTTACATCATCCTTTCCACACTCTCTGTTTCGCTCTATCCTCCTCTCTCTTTTTATTTAATTTTTCCTCTTTCAAGGTGAAGAATTATCAAATTTTCCAAATATATCGTAATTGTTTTAAGAACGTTGGGTGATAAAGGATGGTGTGGATGATTTAGATATCTTTAGAATGACCTGTGGACAAAAACGACTAAGCAAAAAGATTTAGGGTCCCCTCTTTTGGTTCTGTACTGTTATTACACCATTAAACATTCATGCATTGTTGAAATCTGTTATATCGCCACTGTTAAAAGGTTTACAAGGGCACAAGCTGTTAACCAACAAACCAAGTAAACAAAACACCTTATTTCACGTTTAATTCCACCATGGCATATTTAAGACGACGCACAATACAAAAGCGGACATCAGATCAAAACTCGGGCCATATACATGTGTTTGTTGATTTTTTGGGAGTAAAAACTGTTATTTCCATATATTACAATACTGAACAGACATAATAGTATTAAAAAAACTACAATCTTGGATGACAAGCTATAAAAAATAATTGACAACCATAAAACAATGTGGGGTATCAAATAATTTTCAAAGAGCACTGATCTATGGCATACTTGACTCCAAACACACAGACACTGAGAATAGTGCTTAGAAACACAAGCTGTTGAAAGCGCTGTTTATAGAAGTAAAGATGGGGCGCGTATTCAACAAGTACTGTCATTTTAGAAATGTGTGAACCCTTGTAAATAATTCAAATGTCTGTCACACTTCAAATTCCTGTGACACACAGATGGATTGAAACAAACATAACCACCCAAACTACCATTTAGTAAGTGTGCAATATTTGCCAGCAAATATCCACAAAACTGGGAAATGATTGTGAACTATTATTGTATATAGGGAGCAAAAAGCATCCGGTAAGCTATACAGGCAGACAGTGCATGTAATGACAAAAGCAAGGAGACGTGTTTGTTTTGTTGTCGAAAAGGAGGAATCAAAAAAGCTTTGGCAATTATGAGAGTCCAGTAGAGTAAGTGCAAATGTCTAGTAAAATCCCATATCAATCAGTGAGAGGGAAAGCAATGAACCTATCAGGCCAGCAATGAACCTGTCTTTTCAATCTGCTTCTAAAAATATTGCAGCCATAACCTTGACATCAACCACCTAATGGAATGAGGGAGATCATTGGAATGAATGATGTTGATATGAGCTTGTATGATAAGCCATGCTGTGTAAGTCGCTCTGGATAAGAGTGTCTGCTAAATGACGTAAATGTAAATGTAAATGTAGCAACCATGGTGAAGTGAAATCCAATAGATAACAGCACAATGTTAACTATGGAATGAGGCAAAGCAGATGAGACTTTATAGATGCCCAAAAAACATTTGATGAATAGAGAGAGTAAAGGAATGAAAGAACTTTGGCACATGGCACAGTACTGTACTGATGGCAAGAATAGCTTTCCTTTAGAACCCAACTTGGTACAGTAAAGCTTTGACAGACGTTATCTTTTTAAACCGTGTTAAAACCACACAACACAAACATTTCGACAGCCTGTAAAAAAAATGTTAGCTAGGTCGACATAAAATACATTATAATGCTTATATACGAACTGTTGCAAAAACTGAACTATGGGCTCTGTTACTTGGTGACTGACATTGAATAAAACTCTGTTCATACAAACTTGTACGGAACATACCGGGATATATTGTCAGCAAGTAAATACATTCTGAATATTAGCAGCGATCACTAATATATGTGATGACTTCATGTAAATTGACTGTAGCTTATCAATTGTTGTCATAAACTTTAAGCCTTCCTGTCTTTAAAAGTTACCTCTACATATTACATTCAGCTAAATTTAAACTGGGGCCTTATCGAAATGTGGAAATGCAATAATAACTGTGAATCAAACTGATGAACTTGACGTTTGAGGTATGTCTTGCTGACAGTTCATTTTCATCCTTTCTGAAACAGCTCAGAGAGAGTATTTAATAACAACATCAATCGCGGATCCATCGCGGATCAATACATAGCAAACAGGAAACACTAGTGACTCCGTACCAAGTCCGTAGTATAGGCAGCAGCTGCACATGTAAACAACGCCATGGCGTCCATGTTTGGGGGGAGGGACAAAAGGGAGGACAGAGGGGAGGGACGGCTAACACTACTCCATGGTCCTATGGTCCAGCTTACACCAGTGTCTCTGGGAGTGTGTCTGCGTTTTCGGAGGACAGGAGTTGCCAGATCTGCCACCTGTCCCTCTGCCAGTCCTGCCACTCTGGGCTCATGGGTACCATGCCGTCCGTGGTGGGGGAAACCGAGTTCTGTGGCACTGGTGGCCTCCCACCCTGCAGGGGGTGCTGGTGAGGAGGTGCTGCGGGGGAGGCAGGCTGGGCTGGTTTAGAGGCAGCAGGGGAGAGCCTGGAGGACGAGCCACCGTACGGGGGAGGGGGAGGACGCCCTGAGAGGGCAGGACCCGAGTTGGTGGAGTTAGGGCTGGAGCTATACTGGTGTCCAATGTCATGGGGGAGGTGTGGGAGGTCCTCTGCGCTGCTAGCTGCTGATTGGCCATCGGGGTGCAGATGGGGTGGGGTCACGGGGTTGAGGCTCAGCTGGAGGCGCGGCCGTCCCGCCTCGCCGTGAGGGCTGCTGCAGACCCGTGTCACAGGGGGGTGGGGCCTGCACTCGGCCACACCCAGCGAAGTCTGTGTCTGTCGTACCACCTGCCTGGCGTCGCCTTGGAGACCGTCAAGTCCTTCCTGGGAGCTGCGTGAGCTGCCCTCTGACATGTTGCTATGGGAACCTGGAGATACAGATGTCAATGGGAAAAGTAAGAAAATGAAGATAAGTAAAAGTTTAAAAAATGGATTGTTACATTTCAACAGCTTACCTGCATAAGGCTGATCCTTCAGCCCTGGTTTCAGAGTGGAATGCCAGGCTCCCCAGATATTAGCATGCTCCTCTGATGTATAGGACATAATGAAGATGACCATGTTTAGGGACCATCATAATCATCATCATCATTATCAAGATTATTATCATCATCTTCATCCACATCATCACCTCCACCATCATCATCATTATCATAATCACCACCAGCACCACCACGATTATATCAACCACAGCTAAGTACGACTGGACAGTAGTCCTCTCACCTTTTGAGACCCAGGGATTGGACCCATGGGGGTCCCGCGTCCGTCCTGCCACCGGCCCCACCAGGGTGTACTGTTCTGGGACACGGAAGAGCCTCTCTGACCCTGGACTGGTCCCTTCCCCCAGGCGCTCAGACAGGATGGGGGAGTTGTTGTCATAGGGGGACACCTCTCCACTGGAGACCTTGTTGGAGTCACTGGAGGAGCGCCTCTCGCTCAGGGAGAAAGGATCTTCCGATCGCAACAAGTCTGGACTCCTGTGGAGGGAGGGATGGAGGGAGGGATGAGACAAGGGAGAGAAAAGGATGGGTGAAGAGAATGAGAAGATATTGCCATAGATAATGGCTTCTTCACTTTCTCTCCACAGACTTGAACACAAGGCTAAGCAACTGCTTTCGATGAGTATTCAAAATGTGTGACTGTGATATGTGCCATGGAGCCAATGTACTCACTGTGATGCCTTTCTCCTGAGCAGATAGTCTACCACATCAGGATCAGTCTCCAGTAAACTCATCAGGACCTCATTCTGCAGGTCTGGGGGCACCTACACACAGACAATAACAGACATGACCATGAGTATGAAAAATGTATGCACTCACTAAATGTAAGTCGCTCTGGATAAGAGCGTCTGCTAAATGACTAAAATGTAAATGTAAATGACCAAAACAAGTACATAAAAAATGGTCAGTTTATGTATGTAATGGCATATGATGAGCACTAGGGGGTACTATTGACCAAGACAACTTCATGGTGAACATGAGTCTAACTTTCTCCATCTTCACGTTTGGTGATCACAAGCCAATCAATACATGAACACATATTATAACATGGAATACTATTAAATACCAGTCTATGGATCCATGTATAGCAGGGACGGGCAACTGGCCCTTTTGTAGGCCCGTGGACAAATTTCACACCAAAAAACAAACAAACAAAACTACCTTTTTTGGGGGGGGTGGGGGGCTTTATCGGGGTCTCTACTTACTGTTGAGAGTTAGAATAATAGAATACACAAGGTGCAATTTCGAAATTTGGTTGTGCATCAGCAGTCACTCAATTAGCCCATGTCAGCACTTTTTTTGGGGGGGATTGGTAAATTAGTCTAGCAGCCAGCTATCTAAACTTGTAGTAATATTGGTCGAATTACCGACCAGGGTGGGGTCCATTGATCATCAGTTGTCATATTAAAAACTGCAAACATTTGCCTCCATCCCATGGCAAAATGAGTAGAATTGCATAAAATGAGTAGAATTGCATGAAATGAGTTAGAAAATTGCTAAATCTTCTCTCGGCCCCATGGCAAAATGTGTCAAATTGAAGCAAACTTGCTTTAAAACAGCAACATTTTCTCTACGCTACGGGCAAAATGTGCAGAATTGCAGGAAATGAACTTTAAAACTAAAATGTATGCAGACCGACGAGCCATTGCGGCCCGTCATGATGAGTTCCGTTTTTTTTTGCCCACATCAAAGTTGCCCCTCCCTGATGTATAGTGTCTGGGCATTGGGCAATCAAATACATGGGTCATAAAACAAGTGATTTGGCAATGAAGCACGACAGGCCAAACACATTCAACTAAAGAGCTACAAACATATTTTTTTGGTTTACGTCAGGACCTTCAGCAACAACCCTGCCCAGTCGAAAACACGAGGTATATAATTTCAGGACCTAACAAGACCTCTTTCCAGCGTCCCTCCACTACCAAGAATTCCATGATCTGAGCAGAGGGAAAAACAACCTCTGCAAAGTGTCAACGAATACGACTTCTGTTCAGGGAAATGGTGGTGGTGGTGGTGGAACAATCAGTGCAAGGGATTGGCCCATAAGTCCCTCTGGCAGCGTCTCAAAAGACTGTGCTCTGTAGTGGTCCGGGACTGGGCCTTAAGGCCTTTAATCAGGTCCAGGATCAGCTCTAACAGCCTAACAAAGGCCCACAGAGCTCTGTTTTCATTCTATAAGACACAGCCATTGTCTGGTAAAGCCTGGGGATTCTCTAACTTAAACACAGGCTGCGGATAGGGTGCCATTTGGGATGCAGATATGTGTTACAGAGTGGCACTGCCAACCCGGGACGAGTAAGGGAGGCGAGAGGGAGGGAGGAGAGAGGGAGGGAGGAGAGAGAAGAAGAGAGAGAGAGAGAGAGAGAGAGAGAGAGAGAAGAGAGAGGGAGAGAGAGCACCTGAGAGTGAGGAGAGGGATGGGGTAAGGCGAGTGGCTAAGAGGAGGGAGGGATAGGGGGGAGGGAGGCGGGACTTCGACGAGGGTGGGACTTCCTTTCTCTCTCTCCTATTGTTTTTTCTTTCTTTCGAGGGCCTGAGAGAGAGGGGGAGGAATGTGTGATAGATAGAAAGAGGAGAGGCAGAGGTAATGGAAATAGAAATGGAATGGATGTATACGGACCCGAGACATGGAGAGTTCATCAAATGTGTCAGTGCTAAACCCATGTATTTGACATGGCAACTACATAAACAGATTGAGTTTACACAATGTAGGTTATGTAGTTGTTACAACTTATCTACAACTATGTCACCTCACCTGTGTACAGTGTATACAATGAACTCACAATGAACTGGCTAGTACGAATACATTACTGTAATTACACAGTACCTGCCTTTGCAATTACAATATACGTGCAAGGTTGTATTATAAAGAGACTAAACAGGAGATGGGAAAGTGGGTAGGATATAAATACACACATACATAGTATCTCTGTATCGCTGTTCAAAGTATTACATCTATCAAACAAACACACACATACATGCGCAGCCACGCACACACACAGAACCCCCCCCCCACGCACCATGAAGAGGGAGTGGAAGGTTGCGATCATCCTCTGGAGGACAGCGATAACAGCGGTGCTCTCCTCGGCGCGGGCCGAACTCTGCACGCTGAACTCCTTGTCTGAACTCTTCTGCTTGTGGAGCAGGTTGGGACCAAAGATGGTGGCCAGGTTCAGAGAGGTCATCTTGTTCCCCGTCACCTGGAGGAGATGAGGACATAGGAATAAAAATAGTGGCAGCTGCTTAGCAGATGGTTTTATCTAAAGCCACTGACAGCACAGTGAGTGCATACAGTTTTAGTGTGTCCTGTATGTGATTCATGAATAGCATGGGTTATGTGTGGTTGTGGTTGTGGTTGCGTCAAACATCACATCCTTAGTCAAGCCACACTAGACTAGGCAAACAAGTGCAATTGATTGTCATTAACACAAAGAGACACACTATGGAAAACTATTCCTTTTGCATTATACTTCCTGAAACAAATGTAGAATACTACATTGACCTCATAGAATACTATATTGACCTCATAGAATACTATATTGACCTCATAGACTACTATATTGACCTCACAGAATACTATATTGAGTTTCCTTTTATTTTTACTGAGTGCTTCAGGAAAATAACTAGCTATGAAGAACACACTACAATGGCTAAACTGAGACTTCACCACGTTGTCACAGAGCAGCAGCCCTCTGTCTCCAACCCTCCGAAATAGCCTCGTCCCCTTGACCACATCAAGAGACCAATCAGTTACTGTGCGTCAGAGGGACACAATGACATCACAGTGTTTTGGTTGCGCGTCCCTGAGAGCTTGTTCCTCTCCCTTCTCCCCCCCGCCCTCTTCCTTCCCTCCCACCACCCTCCTCTGCCCTCCTCCCTCACCCCCTCAATCCGCACAGAGTGCTAGGAACACGAGCGCGATTAAACGTGTTGATCCGCCGTTCCACCCCCCCCCGCCCGAGCCGCGAGCTTGAAATTAGCCCACTTCCTGCTTCAGATGGCAGATAGGGAACGAAGGAGGAAAAGGAGGAGAGGAGGAGAGGAGGCGGGAGGGCGCTTGGGAAAGAACATTGAGACCAATGTAGCATAGTGGTGTGGTGGGATAGACAGAATACAGGAGAACACCAAGCCCCAGCGGAACCAGAGTCACGGAACCGGAGTGTCGGAAGCCAGATGGACCAGATCAATGGTAAAGATGGTACCAAACCCAGATAGATGCTGTGGGTTTCTACCTGACCTATGAGCTAAAGGAAAGATATTATGTCTCAGTTAATCTGCCACCTCAAAAAGGGCCTGACCACATAAATTCCATCACTCAGGATCAAAGAGAAACATCAGGCCTCAAACAAGGTCTCCTATCTTTAATCCCACAAAAGAGGGGGGAATTGTTCCAAATGTGTTAACGGTTGTTGGCATAAATAGATATGTTTCATATTAAAACGGCATTAGGAAAAGCTGAAAAACATTATTAGACAGGTCAAAACAGGACAAAGCAAATCCTGTATCCTGGCGAGCTGCCTAATATCGTCATAATCAGCTGTTAACTCAAGACAAATCAAGTGCTAATAATCTGTTTACCAGCCCTTATTAACACCATATACTCTACATCTCCTCCCTTTGGTGAATTAATGATCTAATTAAGGAACTAATGAACCATGACGACGGTGCTAAGTGGGACTTACTCAAGTTGAAATACCTCCACCTATGCTAACATTGAATTGCTAGCTTTTCCGTGGCCCAGCTGGCTAAGGTGTTTCAGGAGGACGGTCACGTGTGTTTGCAAGACAGAGAATCCGAGATCGCGAGATCTAGTCTCAGTGCGAGTTAGTGAGGGAGGAAGCTATACTGTTGAAACGGTAGCTTGATGCCAGTTACACACCTATCCAAGTTTCTAGGGAGGTTTAGGTGGTAGGGGCTTGTGGTTGTTTTGGGAATCAGGGGGAATAGTAGGGGTAACGGAGGGGGTCTTCGCCTCACCTCCTGTCCATCTTTGTCCTGGCTGTTGTGGGCATGGTTGGCCACGGTGGAGAGGAACTGCAGGAGGCGATGCAGGGTGTCACTGTTACAGGCTGGCAGCAGGTAGACCAGGAGCTGGGTGGCACTCTGCTGCTCCTCACAGTCCAGCACTACAGAGGGGAAGGACAGGGGTCAGAGGTTAGAGTTTAGAGGTCAGGTGTCGCTGTTACAGGCTGGCAGCAGGTAGACCAGGAACTGGGTGGCACTCTGCTGCTCCTCACAGTCCAGCACTACAGAGGGGAAGGACAGGGGTCAGAGGTTAGAGGTTAGAGGTCAGGGTGTCGCTGTTACAGGCTGGCAGCAGGTAGACCAGGAACTGGGTGGCACTCTGCTGCTCCTCACAGTCCTAGCACTACAGAGGGGAAAGACAGGGGTCAGGGGTTAGATGTCAGGGGTTAGAGGTTAGAGGTTAAGAGTGAGGATTCAGTCTAAAGCATTAGAAAGATGTCACCCTCTCACATACATACACACAACATACACATACCAAATATACATGTACATAGACATACATGTAGACATTGACATTCACATACACAACATTTGACACAATGTATGCACTCTGGTAGGCTAAAGCCTAACATTCACAGTGCATTCAGCATGTCTGTGTGTCATTGACCAAAGTATACACTCTTAAGTGTGGGTTTAGTGCAAACTGAGGGTGTGTCCTACTAAAAGAGGCCAACCAAGGTGATTGGGCCGAGGGCACAGAGTGAGTCTACTACTGCACACAGAGGGTAGTATTCATAAGTAGTGAAGTTGATGTTTCCTCACACATGGTGTTTATGAAGGCAGTGTAGAGCTCCTTGGTGAGGAGAGGGTCAGGCATGTCTCTGAGGAACTCTTTGAGCAGCGCGGCCACGTCATGGACACTGTGCTCCTCATCTAACTGGACGTCCACTCCCCGGTCAAACTCCTCCCTCAGCTAAGAGACAGAGAAAAACAGAACATGAGATATACTGTATATTCCACATACTTTACTGCTTATAGCGACTACAGTTAGAAAGGGAACTCACAGAAACACTCAGTCACACAGGCACATATTCACATCACATGCATGTAAACACATTCCGCACACATTACGGGGACACACAGATACACAGATACGCACACACAAGCACTGGTGTGACCTTGGTGGTAAAAACATTCTCACAGGTAGTCCTGGTCCAACCGGATCTGTTCCCATATCAACCTGCTTACTCCACAATCTGACCCCTAGCATTACTCAGGATTAAAATGGGTCCACTTTGTCCAGTAAGATAAGCATTATAACCAAGTACTATATTTGATTAAGCATTATAGTGAAGTTTGAGTATAGCTTGTGTTTTAGATAAAAGCTTGGTTACAGATCTAAAAGTTGGCAGGAAGTAGCCTACTTCCTTAAGTGAGAGATGGCTGAGATTTAAGTAACTTTGAAAATACCATCTCTAAGTGATGTTGATGATATAGTCAGTTATTTTCCAAGTCAGCAAACGGGGGATTACAGTGAGAAGTCATGTAACTTTCTCACATGGTGACATTTTGATTCAACACGCTGATAGCATTGTATTCCCTCAAACAGTGAGATATTGAAAATAAAAATAAACTCCCTGTCACAGAACGGAAACAACACCATTTAAGACTGAGACTGAGACTAGCTGGCAGCAGTGCTTGTTTCTGCTGACTTGAATGAAAGATTAGGATCTGCCATTGTGAGCGTTGCGTATGAGCTACGCAAACAGACAAGGCGAGAAGTCCAAACTCAGAGAACACAACTCAGAAAACACTAGAACCTCCTTAAAACAGAGACATTGTCCAAAGCAACATTAAACCGGATTGAGTTTTCTGTCACAATAACCAAAAGAAAATATTCAACTAACATAAAAAAGGACGAAGAAAATAAATAAATGGCGAGCAAAAAAATACTAGAAAGAGGGCTTACCTAGAGAGAGTATAATCACACTAGGATGATATAGGCAGAACATGCCTGTCCATGTAATCTGATTCATTATGATATAAAAGGCAAAACTGATCCTAGATCAGCTTTATGGGATGGAGATGAATGCTAAAAGCCCTGCTTGAATTACAAATATGGCATTAAGGCTCGACTGCGTCCCTTTGTAGAGCAGGGCCACGACTACAGAGGAGCCTGGCTCTTCAGCCGGGGCCAAGTTCATTCGCTCTGCTTGCTTTAATAACATGCACTGAATTAATGCTAAGTGGGTGTGTATTCTCCGAAGCAGCGTGAATATCAAAACCAATGCATGAATATAAATATCTTCTGTCAATATATCTGAATTTTAATAACTTCTATTTATATACATGAATATCAATAGCATATATCTATATCACAGTATGCAGAAATATAATGTAATTAGCATGGGCCCCTGTAAAAAAAAAAAAAGCCTTTACAAAATCATATAGTCAACCAGAACAGTCAATGAATAAAATGTGTAATTCACAATCGACGCTTCAACTAAGTTAACCATACAAGATCACCTATTAATAAGATTCATTAAGTTATAAGGTGTCGCTGACCATTCATGGTGAGCTGAAACAACAGCTTTGTGCAGCAATGTGTAAGAACTATCAAAAAGTGGCTCTCCTAGATTCTCACCTGCCTCACTCTCTTCTTGGAGCTCCCCACTCGGAATATCCCCACCGTCTGAAGACCTGTAGGAAGAAACAGTGGAGGACTGGTCAAAGAGACTCAAGCCGAATAATCACAGATGGAAGAGACATGAAGATGTAGCCACCATAACCCTCCTTTCAACACAATCAATCAATCAAATGTATTTATAAAGCCCTTTTTACATCAGACATCATAGTCACAGACTGAAGTAAAACTTTACCCTCCAGACATCAAGCTCTTCTCCCATGACCCCTAAACACTAAACCCTCAAACCTAAACCAATGCTACTGTGGCTCATTCATGCCTAAGAGGACTTTAACCCCTAACGCTCAGTCCAGCAAGTGAGGATTTAAAGACAGCGGGAGAGTGGGGGAGTAAACCCAGGGGTCGACGTTGAGAAGGATTACAAAATCGGTTCACTGAGTGTCAGGAATGAGAGGGCAGACGCTACTATATTTGGTTGGGCAGTGCAGGGCGGGCTAAAGATGTGAGGTTGGAAAATCCAACAGACTGCACCCTGAAGGGTTAGATCGGGTGAGTGATCCCTGACAAAGAGAAGGATTTTGACCACAGGAATAGAGCCGTGTCCAACACAAAGAAAACGTTTTGAAACAGGGAGGTGCTACGTGCGCTCGTTTTCGTTTTCCCGTTGCGAAACCTTTGACTACATCGTTCCCTACTGAACAGGCCCCAGGTGTGATCAGTGAGATGGGCTGTGTTCATTCGTACCGTACTTCTCCAGGTGCTGGCAGCAGCTGTCCACCAAGCGAGGCACCTGTCTGTAGATAGGGTTGAGGCTCAGCCTCTTGTCCCGGTGCTTCTCCTTCTTGCTGGTTGCTTCAGCGGGCAGAGAGAGCTGCAGCGCCTCCAACAGGCGGGATTGGTTATCATCCAGATCTGTGATGGAGTCCACCGACATGCCCCCCTGCAGACCCCAATGAGAGCATTATCAAGCTCACATCTACCTGAGGTCACAGACAGACACACACACACAAACACACACGCACACGAACACACACACACACACAGCGATAGAGTGTGTGTATGGAGTTGGTACGGTAGGCGAGTGGCGGGAGACCCTCACCCTCCTGCGTCCCCGCGGGGCGGCCTCGGGCGTGTTGGGTGACGTGGACTCGTTAGCTGTCTCCGAGGTGGAGCTGAGGGAGGAGTTACTGCTGGACAGCTCCTTATTGGTGGACCTCTTGGTGGCAAACTGCAGGATGGACGACACCAGGTCCGACGGGTCCTTATGCTCCTCCCTGGGAGGAGGGTCCTGACGCAGGCTGTCCTGGCGCTGCCTGTGGATCCGGTCGTTGGCGATCACCTGGGACAGGGCCATACCGAAGGCCTGGGGGATGCATTCTGGGGGGGAGGGGAGGGAGAGAGAGGAATGTAAATACCATATTATTATCACAGAGAGAGAAAGAGAGAGGGAGAGAGAGGGAGAGAGAGAGAGAGAGAGAGAGAGAGAGAGAGAGAGAGAAGAGAGAGAGAGAGAGAGAGAGAGTGTGTGTGTTTGGTCGTGTGTGCATGAAAGATGTGTGTGGCCTCCTGTGTGAATGTGTTTGTGTGTGAACAAGAGAGATTATTTGATTACGCTTCTTATTGTTTTGATTGCTCTGTGATTACTCTTTGAATATTTGGACGCAGGTGCTTTTGCGCACGTATCCACGTATTCGACTACATCATATTTACTTTGAGACATTGATAGGCCCACAAGAGAAAATTGAGACATTCTTAATGTGAGCTATAATAGTAATACAAAAAAACATAACAAATGACGTTTTTAAGGTTTCCTGATTCAGGGCCAAATCCTAACTGGAGAAATGCGTGTGTAGCTCAGACGTTTGTGTAAATCATGCATTGATGTCAATGGGAGCTTGGCACGGAAATTCAAGTTACGTACATGGATCTCCAGTGAGGAACTCAGCCCTCACTGTCTGTCCAGCTTCTAGTGGACTATTGAAAAATACTTTTTTGGGTGGTATTTTCCTTTAACATTATGTATCAATTCCCCTAACAGACACAGGTCCCTGACAGTACACTCTTAGAAAATTGGTGCTATCTAGAACCTAAAAGGGTTGTTCAGCTGTCCCCATAGGAGACCCATTTGAATAACCCTTTTGGGTTCCAGGTAGATCCTGCATTTTGTCAAAATTTAGTTATTGACATAGCCTTTTCTGGTCAATGTTCTCTACCTATATAGTAATCTAAATACCCCAATTCATGTTAAATTCAAAATAATACAATATAAAAATAGCTGACACCATTCAAACCAATGAGGGCTCGAAACTTTAAAGCCAATTACCCCAGAATCATCTTTTTGCAGATAGAACCAGTCCCAAGCTCTCGATACATAAAAACAATATCAACAGTGTATTTTTATCATAGTGACCAAGAGACAACACAAGGGACATGACTGACATGTCTGAGACTGAGAGTGATAGAGAGGAAGGGAAGGAAGAAAGAAAGAAAGAAAGAAAGAAAGAAAGAAAGAAAGAAAGAAAGAAAGAAAGAAAGAAAGAAAGAAAGAGAGAGAGAGAGAGAGAGAGAGAGAGAGAGAGAGAGAGAGAGAGAGAGAGAGAGAGAGAGAGAGAGAGAGAGAGAGAGAGAGAGAGAGAGAGAAAGGCAATTATCATAATGGAAAGAAGGGATCAAGCTAAAAATAGCTGTTTACAGACTTGGTTTTTCGCCGCTCAGGATTATCAACATGAAACAAATCTCCAATTAAATATTTAAAGATACCATCTGTGTTTCGATGAACACGCCAAAAAGAGATTACTACACATGCTACGAATAAAACAGATTAAACTAAATCTGATAAAACGTCTCATCCAGCCTCTATTTTCCCATAAATAAGTCAACAAGGAACCATTTCTTAACAGTAAGTCAGTTTAAGACTTCTCTGCACGTAAGCCCACCACATTAGCCAGGTGGTCTTTGATTCCAGTTAACAATAAAGTCCTGAGACTGCCTGCACAGCTACAAGTCATTTTTAGAACAGGCTCATGGTCTTGTAAACTCAATTAACAGCGTCCGTGTGATCTGGCACTACTCTCATTCTCTGTCTAGGAGAGAAACGAAACTATTTTAGTGTGCATACTCAAATTGAGCACACTAAAATCAACTACTGTAACAACCTTTAGAGCAAGTGTGTCTCCAAACCAGAACAGAGAGAGATACAGAGTACAGCAAATGTTAAGCCATGTTAGGTTCAATTTGTTAACCGTTGTTGACATTGGATGACAATCTATCTTCCGGTCAACACAAACCCAAGGTCCACCCAATCACAAGACAAAGGCATCACCCAGACAGATTTCTGTTTCAGTCCCCGAACTCATTCTGTTTTTGCAGTGCAGTGGTAGAAGGCTACATTATAAACAGGTCCCTCTCAGGATTGAGTTTGATGCAGTGTGTACCCTAATGTAAGTAAATGTACTATGGTTGTCTAAACAGCTGAGAGAGAGGCTGCTCCAAAGGCCAGTATGGCATCACATCAGCCCAATGGACCAGAGCACATGCCACATCATCACACATGTTCCACTCTGGTGACAGACTGAGCCAGAGCTTTAAGACAACACAGCACAGCTGGGATATAGAGAGAGGGAGAGAGGAGATGGAGAGAGAGGGATGGAGGGAGGGAAGCAGGGAGAGAGAGAGGGATGGAGGGGAGGGAGAGAGAGAGAGATTGAGGGAAGCAGGGAGAGAGAGGGATGGAGGGGAGGGAGAGAGAGGGGAGCGGAAGGGATAGAGAGGGATGGAGGGAAGCAGGGAGAGAGAGGTGGGGGGAGAGGAAGGAAGAGAGAGATGGAGAGAAGCATGGAGAGAGAGGGATGGAGGGGAGGGAAGCAGGGATGGAGGGAAGCATGGAGAGAGAGAGGGATGGAGGGGAGGGAAGCAGGGATGGAGGGAGGGAAGCAGAGAGAGATGGAGAGATGGTAGGGATGAGAGGAAGATGTAGAGGCATTTAGAGAGATTTATATATTTATTTAATCAATAGATCGGGAAAGAGAGGAGGGGAGGGAAGCAGGGAAAGAGAGAAAGAGAGATAGTCATCATGTACTAAACAACCACATATGCTAGGTCACACAGTCCACTCTCTCTACAACCAAACACATTGAGAAGGTTTACTCACAAGCACACACACACACACACACACATACACACTAATGACACAGCATTCGTCAGCCTACATGTTCACAGCCACTATGTTTCCAACCCACTACCTCAGAGGAATGTTCTAGATATCGACCGCCGATCTCTCCCACAGTGAGTTTACATGACAAGAGAACTGAGAATGGGACTGCTGCTGTGATGAAGTCTTTACATATCCCAGAGTTGACACAACAAAGGAAGTTGGTGCTACCGAGGCCCACCGGCATCAGAGAGAGCCTGAAATACAGTGCGTGTTTACATTGAATAAACTGATTGCAAAGAAAGTTCCCCACAGCTTGTGAGCAAATGTGGAAGACACTTGGAGTAGTTTTTACCTCCATCTCTATTGGAGAGTTCCTTTCCATCAGATCTGTAGTTAGCGCGTTGCCAAATATGCCGTCTGCGATGCAGGCAGAGTGGCTGTATTTCAGCTCAGTCCCCTTACAAGGAGTCGCTCCACTATGCTAAATATATCCTCCTCCTCCCCTAGTAAATATGTATGTGTTTTCATAGCCACTCTGCTATTCACCTGGGGCAGGAGCTATACTCTTTAAAAAAGGTGCTATCTAGAACCTTAAAGTGTTCTTCAGCTGTCCCCATAGGAGAACCCTTTGAAGAACCATTTTTGGTTCCAGTTAAAACCCTTTTGGGTCCCATGTAGTACCCTTTCCACAGAGGGTTCTACCTGGAACCAAAAAGGGGTTCTCCTATGGGGACAGCCGAATAACTCTTTTGGAACGCTTTTTTCTAAGAATGTAGGGCTGGGGACTGACGGCAAGCTTCTATTCTCTCGGGAAACTAAATGTTCAGGACTGGGAAAACGTCTTCATAAATGTAAGTGACATCATAAAAAAGGAAAAAGGAAAACCCAAAGAAAAAAAACACGAGCGCTCCCCCCTAACCCCAGGTTTTAGTTTGCATCTGAAAAGACACCCAATCCTTATATTTCCAATATTTCCACTATCCTTATGCCGCCTTTGTCTATTTTGAAGCACCAACAGTGAAGGGCCTGCTTTCAATGTCTGCCTTGATAAACAGTGTTAATTCATTACCAAGAAGGACGCTGCTTGCATAGCCTACAGATCTGTTATATTAATTTGCCCAGTTTGTCACAGCAGGAAAAGATTCCTGCAGCAACAAGACATGTGAATTATTATATGGATGATAATAAATGGACATTTTTTGTAGAGGTTGATACATTTTCCGAAAGGGCAAATCAAGTCTGACATTTTAAAGTGGAAATTAACTTTTAGAAGCTTTTTTTTAAACTCGAATACACAACAAGTTTGCATTTCCTGCAGAGTGATCAAATTAAGACAATACACCTGTACAGTACGAAGCACTTAGTCTTTCCATAAAAGCCCATGTTGAGGGGTTTCCACTAGTTACCACAGCCACAAAGTCAAACTTGGCTATATTAAATAAATAAAATATTTAAAAATTACTTTTGGTTAATTGAAGGTTAGGGTTAGGCATAAGGTTAGCAGTGTGGTTAAGGTGAAGGTTAAGGTTTAAAATAACATTTTAACAAGAGAAATTGAAGAAATGGGCAGGGTGTATGACTTTGTGGATGTGGTAACTAGTGACAAACATGTTGAGGGCTTCACATCAATGTACCTTTATCTTTGTTTTTCTCTTTTGCCAATGAGTCCAACTTCCTCCTCAACGACTTCTTCCTTTTCTGTCCATCTGAGAGAAAAAACAACTGTCAGTTATCTGTACACACTGATAACAATACACACAATGACCTGCTGTCACATTAGGTGATCTCTTCCATTATCATGTATGTCGGCCATTTTGGACATGATCAAGCCAGTGGCTTCAAAGAGCATTGGTTATCAGAACACTGCAGCGATAAAAATGACAGATGAGTGTCTCTGGCCTCTGGTCCAGTGGTTTTATCAATAGAGGATCAAGAGGAAAGAAACAGAGGACATTCTCATTTCCTCTTGATCCTCAGGCTTTCCTGTGAAGAGGATTTATTAAGGAATCAGGGCCCCAGTTCACCTGAGCTCAATCCTGGAAGTAAAACTTAACCCTGAGAAAAGTAGAGGATGAGCACCTTCAATGTAAATATATAGTTTATAGCATATTATTCTACTATTATATCAAGTTTACAGCCCACTACTTTACAAGATTAGATATCACCAGCAGTGGACTATTTGGACAATTTCACATCATGCTTTGAATTAGCGTGGATCCAAATGTGGGTTTCATTTTGAAAAGGGACTGATCCGTTATGAGGAAGGGAAAGAAGTGTTTTGTCAGCTGTCAACAAGATCTATGACTCCTAGCAAGATCTTTGATTAATGTACAGGAAACCTCTGGCAGCTTGGACCAGGGGTTGGAACTCTTATTGGGGAAATACCTCACAACTGTGTCTATAGCCAGAGCGACCTCTAATCAAACAGTTGATTGATCTGTCTTCAAAACAGTCGAGATGTTATTAACTGGGCACACACTGGTTGAATCAACGTTGTTTCCACGTCATTTCAATGAAATTATGTTGAACCAATGTGGAATAGATGTTAAATTGACGTCTGTGCCCAGTGGGTATGCTCTTTTATGATTGGTTTACGATCTTAACAAGGATTTTTTTCCCCCATTGGCTCAGTCAAATCCACTGTTCTTGGAACAGGGATATAGAACAGGTTGCTAAGAAACTATGTTTCAACATATCTACAGATCGTTATGGAATATCTAAAGACAGAGTATGAGAGAACAAGAGTGAAGAATAGAAAGGGAGAATAGAGAGAGAGAGACAAACACACAGAGAGAGAGAGAGAGAGAGAGAGAGAGAGAGAGAGAGAGATAGAGAGAGAGAGAGAGAGAGAGAGATAGAGAGAGAGAGAGAGAGGAGAGAGACGAGAGAGAGAACAGAAGAGAGACGAGAGAGAGAGAGAGAGAGAGATAGAGAAGAAGAAGAGAGCAGATCACAAGAGAGAGAAGAGAGAAGAGAAGTAAGAGAGAAGAGATAGAGATATATAGCAGAACATAAAGATAAAACAAACAAAATATAGATAAGAGATATAGATAGATATAAGAGAGCAAAGAGATACCAGAGTAGATATGAGATAAGAGATAGACACATAAGAGAGAGTATAGAGTAGAGAGATATAAAGAAGAGAAGAGAAGAGAGATATATAAAGATATATCAAGTATAGAGAGAAGAGATAATAATAAGATAGAATGAAGAGTAGATAGATATATAAGATAAATGAGATACACAATAAATAATATAGATAGAATATACACTTATTCTAGATAAGATAGATATAAATATAGATAATAGTATATGAATATATAGATATGATAAAGAATTAGCAATAATAATACTATAGAGATAGTATAATAAAGAAGAAAATTTCTTTAATCCTCTCATGTCAGTTACTAGTCCCTCTGGTATCTGATCTATCCTCTACTCTCTCAGTTCTTCTCGTTCTTCTCTGACCCCCAATTAGTTTGAAACACATTTTTGGCTCAGTTGACTCGGCAAAGCTGGACGGCAATCCCAGGAACCTCCAGTCCTCTCTCTCTTCCCCACTCCAACGACTCGTGAAACGATCCAACGTGCCATTTTCTTTTCTACATTTTTTCAAGGCTCTCCGGGCCTCTGGCTAACCCAACCCCAGGCGCAAGATAAACACGAGAACCAGCCGAGTGCAAAACCCACAGTCGTGGTGCTGAAATATCTCAGTAACACATGCCTGAGGGGTTCTGGAATTCATAAGCAACACAGACAAACGCATTAAATCATCCGGGGGAGAGGTAGAACCTTTGACTGGAATGCACACCCTGGGTAATATACAGTTCTCCACAGAGCATGACTTAGAGCAGAGCAGCAGGCTATGGCCCTATGGTACTGAGTGGAAAGGGCTACACATAGGGCTTCATGTATAAGTGTCTAACTGACACTGCATAAGACAGGAAGTTCACTCCTGAGTCTTCTAGATGTACTGTATAGGAAATCATGTGTACTGAGGTTTACATCTCAAATCATAAATGCTTACAGCTTCCCCAAACACACTCTGTGGAGGGGAAGTTCACGGTTGTCTGCTAGACAGTTTGAGGTTGGTCTCGGAGCGGTCCAAGCCAGATATTGATGGCAAATGTTTGTGAAAACGCTTGTAGCATTGGCACAGGGACAGACTGACTAGCCATATGAACAGACAGACAGATGGACAGGCGGATGGACGGACTAGAAAGGAAGACAGACAGACGGACATTTACACACACACACACAGACACCTCTATACTTTACCTTTGGGGATGGTGATCTGGCAGCCTAGGTCATAGTCTTGATGGAGCCTGTTGAAGGCCACCTCTTGTAGCCAGGTTCGCTCCAGCTCCGACAGGCTCTGGATGGCCGTCGGCATCAGCCGTACACTCCGCCCTGACAGGCTGTTCCAGGTGAAGTCACCCTGGGGAGATATGTTTATGCTGTCACTTGGCAGAGGAACATTTGTTAGCTACAAAGGCTAATGGCTAGCACCACTGTTACCGTATCTTAAAGCAGCTGTTCTTATTTAAAGTAGCTAGCTTGAGAGTTGGTTATAGCCCCTAAGACTACCTCCACTGTTACAACTCTCATCACTGCTACTGTCACCATAACCTGACCGAGTTGACAGATTTTCTATTCGAAGAACCGGTCTGCAATCACTACAAATGACCATGATGCCCATAGTGATCGAAGGCTGGTTGTTTGTTCAAGTTGCAACAACTTGAAAGGAATGGACAAGTCTCGACTATCGTCACCAACAGATGTTGCAGTATGAGGACAGCAGTGGAGGCTGCTGAGGGGAGGATGGCTCATAATAATGGCTGGAACGGAGCAAATGGAATGGCATCAAACACATGGAAACCATGTGTTTAATGAATTTGATAGCATTCCACCTATTTCGCTCCAGTCATTACCATGAGCCCGTCCTCCCCAATTAAGGTGCCACCAACCTCCTGTGGAGGACAGATTGTCCTTAGATTCAAACATCTACATCTGAACCCAAAGCACTTGATAACTGGGCAATAAGTCCTAAAAGCCCACATCTTAACCTGAAAGAGAAGCCCAGGTCAGATCACTAGAGAGTGTAGTAAAGCTGATGGATGTTTAGGCTCAATATTTTTTATTTGTTTTATTCTATTTCACCTTTATTTTAACAGGGAAGAAATATTGAGACCAAGGTGTCTTTTACAAATGTGCCCTGTGTATACAACATAAATATACACATTATACCCAAACTATATATACCGTACATACACATAGCGGATATGTATATACAGTACCAGTCAAAAGTTTGGACACACCTACTCATTCCAGGGTTTTTCTTTATTTTTACTATTTTTTACATTGCAGAATAGTAGTGAAGACATCAAAACTATGAAATAACACATATGGAATCATGTAGTAACCAAAAAAGTGTTCAACAAATCAAAATATATTTATATTTGAGATTCTTCAAAGTAGCCACCCTTTGCCTTGATGACAGCTTTGCCCACTCTTGGCATTCTCTCAACCAGCTTCATGAGGTAGTCACCTGGAATGCATTTCAATTAACAGGTGTGCCTTCTTAAAAGTTAATTTGTGGAATTTATTTCATTCTTAATGCATTTGAGCCAATCAGTTGTGTTGTGACAAGGTAGGGGGGTACACAGAAGATAGCCCTATTTGGTAAAAGACCAAGTCCATATTATAGCAAGAACAGCTCAAATAAGCAAAGAGAAATGACAGTCCATTATTACTTTAAGACATGAAGGTCAGTCAATTTCAAGAACTTTGAAAGTTTCTTCAAGTTCAGTCGCAAAAACCATCAAGTACTACGATGAAACTGGATCTCATGATGACCGCCACAGGAAAGGAAGACCCAGAGTTACTTCTGCTGCAGAGGATAGGTTCATTAGAGTTACCAGCCTCAGAAATTGCAGCCCAAATAAATGCTTCACAGAGATCAAGTAACAGACACATCTCAACATCAACTGTTCAGAGGAGACTGCGTGAATCAGGCCTTCATGGTCGAATTGCTGCATAGAAACCACTACTAAAGGACACCAATAAAAAGAAGAGACTTGCTTGGGCCAAGAAACACGAGCAATGGACATTAGACTGGTGGAAATCTGTCCTTTGGTCTGATGAGTCCAAATTTAGAGATTTTTGGTTCCAACCACCGTGTCTTTGTGAGACGCAGAGTAGGTGAACGGATGATCTCCGCATGTGTGGTCCCCACCGTGAAGCATGGAGGAGGAGGTGTGATGGTGTGGGGGTGCTTTGCTGGTGACACTGTCTGTGATTTATTTAGAATTCAAGGAACACTTAACCAGCATGGCTACCTCAGCATTCTGCAGCGATACGCCATCCCATCTGGTTTGCGCTTAGTGGGACTATCATTTGTTTTTCAACAGGACAATGATCCAACACACCTCCAGGCTGTGTAAGGGCTATTTTATCAAGAAGGAGAGTGATGGAGTGCTGCATCAGATGACCTGGCCTCCACAATCACCCGACCTCAACCCAATTGAGATGGTTTGGGATGAGTTGGACCGCAAAGTGAAGGAAAAGCAGCCAACAAGTGCTCAGCATATGTGGGAACTCCTTCAAGACTGTTGGAAAATCATTCCAGGTGAAGCTGGTTGAGATTATGCCAAGAGTGTGCAAAGCTGTCATCAAGGCAAAGAGTGGCTACTTTGAAGAATCTAAAATATAAAATATATGTTGATTTGTTTAACACTTTTTTGGTTACTACATGATTCCATATGTGTTATTACATACTTTTGATGTCTTCACTATTATTCTACAATGTAGAAAATAGTCAACATAAAGAAAAACCCTTGAATGAGTAGGTGTGTCCAAACTTTTGACTGGTACTGTATATACACATAGCAGAATGGACAGTATGTTATATGGCAGGTTAAGAGCGGGGAGGAACGGGAGTTGATGGCTTGACTGGCAGTCAGCTCAAAAAGAACTTCATGATGAACTCATAAGTCACCTGGATCTATGGTTCTGCATTCCCCTCTGTCAGCCCTACGAGCTGCTGAAGAGAGAGGACAGAGCTAGAGTACTGATGTATTAGCCAGACATCAGAGCAGGTCAGCGTTTTTCGTCATGAATCTTGTTCTGGAGGCAGCTCTGCAGAGTGGTCACTAGCTGGCACAGCCACAAAGTCATAAAATCTGACACACACACACACAGAGAGTCCTCCTTGAACCTGCCTTAGTACGTCATAGAACTTCATTTAGCTTAGAATTTGTTCTTACGCAAGCCTACTTTTGTGCAACAACTTTGGATTCACTCCTGCTTAAAGATACAACAGTACCCACCTTGTGCTCCCAAAACGCCCCAGCCAGCAGAGAGGAACAACACCATCATTCACCAGAACAGTGAAAAACAAGAGGTGGAAATAGAAGATCTACGCAGCTGTACTAAGAGGACAGAGGCTTCTCACCCATCCTGATACTCCCTAGCTAATGAGCATGCAGAGGAACAGCCAGATGCACTCACTCCAAAATAGTTAGTCATTAGCGTATAGCCGTGTGTGGATGAAACCATAGCACTGTTGTTGTGAGTTCCCCACAACAACAGCGGCAGGGAGCTCGTTCTGTTCCAGTCCCCTCCACTGGTTGCATACACAGGACACAGCCGTAAGGGGTGAAGGGAAGGGGGACCCTGTGGTTGATGGTTGTCAGTGTGCAGCAGTTGTGAGATTGGGGAGGAAGGATTGTTTTGGGGGGGGGGGGGGGGGGGGGGGGGGGGACAACAACAGCTGGAAAAGCAGGGGCTGCTACTCGCTTGAGCTGCTAGGTCTGGCAGGGGGGCTGAATGGGATGGCTGAGCTCCAATTCCCCCAAGTCCATCTATGGAGCATGTATGGAATGGTTATGGAACGCTGGTACCTCAGAAATGCTGTCCCCTCCCCACCACTTGGGAGTTCTCTTCAGACTCTAATTCTAGTCTCTATGAGCACATTTACAATACAGTAAACAGGAAAGCCAGTTGAATTTGACAGTGCTTAGTGTACACAACTAATTTGTTACTTAACAATCCAACATGCATGTAAGAGCCATGACCCACTGGGTGAATTAAAGGGGTCAAATTGATCTACTATGGCTGCTCGCTGAACAACCTTAGGAAGAAAAATGATCTTGTCCAATGTTATACTCTCTGCTGTATGTACTATAAACTTTTGCCAGAGAACCAATCAATATTGGTCAGTTTGTGTTTCATAATCGCTGTTTTCACACTTGACTAAGGACTACAGTTGACTGGGGATGACTAGGAACTACATCTCCCAAACCTGTTAACCATCTCTACGCCTGCTCCACCCCCCAGCTCTGGGGCCCACACGGTCCTCCACACATGGCCTTCTCGTTATATAAAGACATGGTCCGACCAGGCTGCCTCCCTCCACCCCCTTAGTGTGTTATTAACATCTCTTTTTCCACTACTCACACATCATCATATCCACTCTGCGCCTGAAAACATGTCTACCCTTGACACAGGTAGACCTCATGGCCGGAGATACTGCTAATAGGACTAGTACAGATTGTTACTCAGAATGAGTTGTCCTCAACACATCAATTCCATTTGATTTCCCAGTGAAATCAGGAAATGAATCCAACGTCCTTGCCAATTGCATTGAGCTGTAATAAGCGTACAGTATGCAAGTTGATTCTTACCTTGCCTTTCAGTAGCGCGTTGTCATAGGTGTCAATCATATTTGAGCTTGTTTTAATAGCGGGATGAGAATATAATTGTTTGTCCTTAAACAGATGTTTGTTTAAGCTATGAACCCCATTCCGTTCACATTATAAAATGGTTGTGTACTGCAATCGAGTTATTCCATTTGCTTTGAAAACACTTCCTGTTATCTAACAGTAATCTTATTCAGGTTGCCATGCTGCTGTGACTAATCATATCACTTAACAATTTGGCTTACTGTATATAATTCAATTTCTTTGAAAAGTGTGAAAGTCTTGCAAGAAATGTTAACTGTAGCATACCAATGACTGTCATGTAGGGCAGGCTATACTGTACTGTGATTTACAGGACAAGTCTACAATAATGCCTTAAGGCAGACTGACGGTTCGTTATATAATGTATAGAGGGAGGAACAACATCATGCTAAACTAATAATGGCTATTCCAGACTATTAAATCCAAGCTGAGAAATCCATTGACTTAGTCAATATTCAACCTATAGGTTCTGTTCTCTCCAAGATACCTCTGTAATGTATTGTGTGGGGTGTAGCTGTTTGTCAGGGCAGCCGTTTTCTAAATAGCTTTGGGATGACTCGGCTAATAAGGTGGGCGTATGCGCCTTTTAAAATCTGTTCAATGAGCGAGGACAAATTGCACAAATTGAAGTAAAATAATATGTTTGTTTCCATGGTAACATATACACAGAGCCTCATGTGTTTTGGGAAATGAAGAAAACATCACCATGGCAACCCTCGATCGAATGCTCAATCGCTAAATTTGCACAAGCTACTGACCTCACTGAATGGACATATAGTAAAGAAAGTGCATCATCAATCAGTTAAATCAATGAGCATGTTTTCATATTAGAAGACCAACTGGAATTTTCCATCCATTCTCTCTCATTTCTTATGTTCAGTCTCATAGAAATTGCCATCAGCTAAATGCAATGACCTAAAATCATCTTCAGAAACTCAGCAAGCATCAGCAGTAGCAAACTGCACAGTAACTTCAAACTACATCATAAAATCTGTTTCTCTGCTCTAACATTTCATGGGAAGGCACAATAGCCCTGGTTGGTACTCTGCCAAAGACAACATGTTCCTCTCTCTATTAGATTCAATATATTAAGACCCTGGCGGGTACAAACCTACTGCTTTAATTAAGAACACATTCATCTGATCCAAAGGACAGATGAACCTGGGCCCAGAACTGAGGTGTAGGATGTCACTCTAGGGATCAACACACAGTCATAGCCTATAGGTGAGAGCATAGAAAAAGAGGTACACTCAATATGGCCGCCGGAATGTTGACTTGAATGTCCGTTCTAGTAATTCTAATTCAATGGGTGAGAGAGTGTAGAAATAGAACGGTGACTTGAATGGGAATCCTCTGATATGACTGTATTGACAACACATGTCCATAATGTTCGTTGCAGGACAAAAGATCACGACATCACCCATTAAACCACAGCAAACAAACAATGCAGCATGCTCTGAACCTAACTAATCAATTCACCAGTCAGATTGCTTAGTGGGCCACAGGAGGTTGGTGGCACCTTAATTGGGGAGGACGGGCTCATTGTGTGGCTGGAGCAGAATGAGTGGAATGGTATCAAATACATGGTTTTGATGCCATTCCATTCACGCCATTCCAGACATTATTATGAGCCGTCCTCCCCTCAGCAGCCTCCACTGTCGTGGGCCGATGCGTAATCTCGCTTATGCCGGGGACAATAATAGGTTATTGACACCACTCTGGTCCCTTTCAAGTGGTTTTATGTGCATATGCATATGCCTATACAGTATCAAGTCAAGTCAGAATCCAAACCCTGCAAATGAACCAATTTGATCCATCTACAAGAACATTTTAAACAACATTATGGTTGTCACGCCCTGGCTCTGGGGACTCTAATATGTTGAGCCAGGGTGTGTATAGTCTATGTGTGTTCTAGGTTTCACTTTCTGGTTTGGTATATCTATGTTGGCCAGGGTGGCTCCCAATCAGAGACGGCTGTAGCTCGTTGTCTCTGATTGGGAGTCATACTTAGGTAGCCGTTAGGCATTCATTTGGTGTGGTTTCTTGTTCGTATTTGGTTTGTGTTTACCATTGACTGTCACGTCATCGTTTTGTTGTTTTGATCGTGTGATCATTAATATAATAAATATGTTCGCCTTCAACGCTGCGCCTTGGTCCTCTCTCACCGACGATCGTGACAGAAGAAACCACCAAGACTTGACCAAGCAGCGTGTCCAGGAGCCATCGCCAGGGAGATCTCTAGCAGATCTCCTTCGCCTCCTCGACTGGGTCAAGCCGGGTGAGGAAGAGAAGGGCTTGACATTGAGGCAGAAGGGCGAAAGGCTGGCGAGGGACATGGAGACCTTGTCCACGGGTAGGAGAGACGCCCAGAAATTTTTTAGGGGGGGGCTAACGCCGTGGACGACGGGCCAGCAGGAGACCGCGGCAGAGCGGCCCAGCGGGTTGGCAGAGGAGGCCGCCAGGTTACGGGGGCCACTGGTCGAAGAGGGGGTGGAAGGTGTAGAGGCACGGCGAGAGGTACTGGGGTGTGTTACCAGTCCGGTCCGGCCCATTCCAGATCCCTGCGTAGGACCAGTGGTGTGTGTCCCCAGTACGGTCCGGCCTGTTCCTGCTCCCCGCACCAAGTCAGTGGTGCGCTTCGTCAGCCCGGCTCGGCCCGTTCCTGCTCCCCGCACCAAGTCAGTGGTGCGCTTCGTCAGCCCGGCTCGGCCCGTTCCTGCTCCCCGCACCAAGTCAGTGGTGCGCTTCGTCAGCCAGGCTCGGCCCGTTCCTGCTCCCCGCACCAAGTCAGTGGTGCGCTTCGTCAGCCCGGCTCGGCCCGTTCCTGCTCCCCGCACCAAGTCAGTGGTGCGCTTCGTCAGCCCGGCTCGGCCCGTTCCTGCTCCCCGCACCAAGTCAGTGGTGCGCTTCGTCAGCCCGGCTCGGCCCGTTCCTGCTCCCCGCACCAAGTCAGTGGTGCGCTTCGTCAGCCCGGCTCGGCGCGTTCCTGCTCCCCGCACCAAGTCAGTGGTGCGCTTCGTCAGCCCGGCTCGGCCCTTCCTGCTCCCCGCACCAAGTCAGTGGTGCGCTTCGTCAGCCCGGCTCGGCCCGTTCCTGCTCCCCGCACCAAGTCAGTGGTGCGTTTCGTCAGCCCGGTTTGGCCCGCTCCTGCTCCCCGCACCAAGCCAGTGGTGTGCGTCGTCAGTCCGGCACGGCCCGTGCCTGTTCCACCGGTGGCTGGTCCGGCACCGGTCAGATGCTTCACGCCGGAGCTAGAGCAATCCGCTCCACCAGTGTGCAGTCCAGCTCCGGCCAGCGGGGCCAGACCGGACCAGGGGTACTTTGGGGGGTTGGAGAGGGAGCGGGGATCAGGCCCGGAGCCGGATCCGCCGCCTAAGCGGAGTGCCCACCCGGTCATCTCCCCTGTGGTATTTGGTGGGCGCGGTCGGAGTCCGCGCCTTTAGGGGGGGGTACTGTCACGCCCTGGCTCTGGGGACTCTAATATGTTGAGCCAGGGTGTGTATAGTCTATGTGTGTTCTAGGTTTCACTTTCTGGTTTGGTATATCTATGTTGGCCAGGGTGGCTCCCAATCAGAGACGGCTGTAGCTCGTTGTCTCTGATTGGGAGTCATACTTAGGTAGCCGTTAGGCATTCATTTGGTGTGGTTTCTTGTTCGTATTTGGTTTGTGTTTACCATTGACTGTCACGTCATCGTTTTGTTGTTTTGATCGTGTGATCATTAATATAATAAATATGTTCGCCTTCAACGCTGCGCCTTGGTCCTCTCTCACCGACGATCGTGACAATGGTTTCTTATGCTGAAGATACAGTAGGCTATCACTCTTTATACAGAGTATTAAAGGCATTGTATACATCACACAATATGACAACCACTTCATATTGCCTAGTGAACTTTTTCTCAACCTTTTCTTGCACCATTGACCAGTATGCTACAGACTTCATTTGAGAACTTCTTATTATAACAACAACCATGTGAATGTGATTGTGAACAGATGGAATCAGTGACATCTGATGGCTCTGTCATCAACTCTCACCCCTCCAAAGCTCATGACAAACATGCTTGCTTGATAATTAAGTGGAGGGGGTCATATGAGGTAGGTTATTTTGAAGACATTTGGGTAGTACAAACCTCAATCCATTGTTACTGCATGTGTGTTCAATGGGATATTATGAAATAGAATCCAATTCATGTAAAAACAAACCTTGAAAACCCCCAAAACGAACATTTCTACACCACAGAGAGAGGACAAGCCCTTGGGCCCTTGGGCTCCATTATTACAAAAATCATTTTCTCAATGGAGGAAAATGCACTCCGTCCGCACACATAACTAACGGCAACATCTGTTCCCTTGGAAAATGACGGTCGGTTCTCCAACCCTCTCAGAGGAGGATACCACATCGCACATCTGGGGATGAAACATCCCAATCCCAAATAGGCCTCCCAATCCCAATTTCCCATAGGGATACAGCCTGATACCGTGGCCCAGGGGGGGAAAAAAACATTTTAAAAGAGGGGCACGTGTTAAGAGATTGCACCGAAGGAATGTTCCTTTTCACGTCGTCGTTTTTACTCTTTCTGTTTTCGTTTCACAGGTCCCGTTGACTCTGATGGGGTAATGGATAACTCGTGTAGCGCTGGAACCACACCAAGGTTAACATCTGATTGTAATTAAAGCGCCGCTGGGCTAGCTAAACTCTGGTTGGCCTGTCAGAGACAAAGGATTGATGGACCCCTCCACCTGCCGTGGTCTATACGTCTCGCTGCCTTAGAGAAAATAGACCGGGAAACATCCTGATATGTCAACGAGCAAAAGTCAAGTTATCAGAAGACAATTGGGGGGGATAATGAGGACGATCCTATCTCATAAACATGCAGTATGAAGCAAAAACATGGCTAACTATCCTAGCACATAAATTGTGAGCCTTCATCTCATCTCGAGCTTGGCTGTCAGGGAGAGACTTTATCCACCCCATAATAACC